TCTTCTTGCAGCTGAGAGAATATTAGCATACTTGAAGAGATGCCCATGTAGAGGTATACTGTTCAAGAACAATAATCACATGAAGGTGGAGGTCTATATAGATGCTGATTGAGCTGAGAGTGCTGATGACAGGAGGTCTACCTCTAGATATTGCGCCCTTGTAGGAGGTAACCTTGTCTCTTGAAGGAGTAAGAAACAAAATGTTGTTTCCCGCTCTAGTGCTGAAGCTGAATACAGGTCAATGGCTAACGGAGTGGCAGAAATCACTACTAGAAGAATTGGGTATTGATTATGATAAGCCCTTGATGCTGCATTGTGATAATAAGGCGGCTATTAATATAGCTCACAATCCGGTGCAGCATGACAGAACTAAACATATCAAAGTTGATCGACATTTTGTCAGAGAAATGGTCTCATCACAAGAAGTGTGTCTCCCGTAATATCACCTCCAACATGCAGCTCGCAGATCTTCTCACCAAGGCTGTTCCAAGGAAGAAGTTAGAGGCAGACCTATTCAAGTTGGGATGACAAATATCTATTCCCAACTTGAAGGGGAGTGTAGAGAACACTGATGTGGGCCCCACGGCTGTGGTCCCCACTGTGTTCGTATGACAGCACATGTAAGCTTTGTTAGTTATGTCACTGTTAGCTGGTAGTTATCTTAGACAGCTTGTTATTTCAGTTTATTATTTGTTTTATTTGCCATGTAAGCATTAAGGGCAATTCTGTCCTTTCCTACATTTAGTGAACATAACCTATAAATATTGAGAGAGTGGCAGCGGCAGGTTCATTCGATCTGTCCCTCCTTTCAAAACCCTTGTGTACTTCTGCTTTCTTCTCCTTCTCCCTCTTCTACTTTTCTCAATCCGAAATCTDTTGGAATTCAAGACTGACTATAGTCTTGATCGACTACTATGGGGAATAATTGAATTTCACCTAAACAGGTAACTGAATTCCACTCTTATTGCAGGAATATGGGTTTTGCATGGCCTATTCTGTAGTATGGATTTTTGCAAGTCCATGCTCTTACCGTTGGAACACCAGCGAGTGTCGAAAACCCCATTTTCTGCTAATATTGTTCACTCATTCTTCTTAACATAAGACAATTTCTAAGAGGTAGGCAAAATTCTTAATATAAGACAATTTTTAAGAGGTAGAGAATTGTAATTAAAATTATAATACCATTTTTTATATACAGGTTAAGAATTTAAGACCCTAACATGGGCTTCTTTGGGATTGCCTCAAGGGGCTTGGTTGGGAGTCACAATGCTTAAAAAACACAGAAAGCACCAAAAAATAAAAAGGTGCCTTTGTAAAGGGGCCACACTTGGGCCAAGTCTAGGCACACATTTTAAATCACTGGTTGTGAGGCAGTCAAAAGATATAGAATACAGAAAGGGAGTTCACATATTTTCTTCCACCATTTCCTCTCTCTGTTCTGCTTTCCTTTCTTATCCCTAAGAAAATTCCGTCCTGTACGTTTTAAATCACTGGTTGTGAGGCAGTCAAGAGATACAGACCAAAGAGAGGGAGTTCACATATTCTGTTCCACCATTTCTTCCCTCTGTTCTGCTTTCCTTTCTTATCCCTAAGAAAATTCTCTTCTGTTCTTTCTATTCTTTGCTAAGCAAAAAATTACATGTTAAACCAAAAAATATAAGAGTAAATTCTGTTATTATCTCCTGAGCTTCTCTGATTTTGAGCCTGTGCCTCCAAGATCCCTCCTACATACCTCCCAGCCAGCCTACTATCACCTTGGAATCACCTACTATCACCTTTACCCCTTTAAGTCCTTACAAAGAAGCGTTCAATACTGCTGTAAATGAATCCCCAATTCCAACATGACCTGAAAACAGAGTCATACATCCCCTGCATGCTTTCTGAATACTCCTATACCCGATGGTCCCAGGTTGCTTAAGCCGCAACCATCAAAGTTCAATTTGAAGTGTAATACTTGTGGTGGGCTCCAATCAACTGGTATTACTAATTTGATTGGTGCAGAATCAGCAACTTCCTAACAATTCCTTATAATGTCACCAGACGTAATAGGCTTCAAACAAGTCCAAAGACTTGACTAACTTTGAGGATGGAGTTAGAATGTTTTATGTCCTATTTTCCTAGTTACAGAAGTTGGCCTTTATCAAAGGTTTTACTGCAGACCACTCAATCATGAGAAAGAGTGGGATCATCATAAATAGGATCTCCATAAAAAAAAAAAAAAAAAAAAAAAACTCCAACTTTGAGGATGCCCTTCCTGTTAAAGAAATTGTAGTTTCCTGATCTAAGAAGATGAAGATACACCAACTTGGAAAGTATCAGAAGCTTTTATCCTTTATAATCATTCAATGGCTCCCACTAGGAAGAAATAGAGGAATAAGACAATCTTGTTCTATATTGTGAAAGTGAAAACCAACTATATGTGCTAGTTCCTGATCACATGCAGAATTTCCTTTTAGTAATTTGGATACCCGAAAACATTATGGTGTTCGAAACAACTTGATGCAGATTATATTGTAAGAAAATGGTATAATTTGCACTTGATTCTTTTGTTAGGAGGATTCTCCCCCAATTGACCATGTTCGTTTTGAAGATTACTAACACAAGCAAGGGAGAGTGTATAATTGGCATTCTATTTTCACAAATCTCTCCTCTTTTTCATAAATGGCCTTTTACCATAAGTTACAAGGAGGAAACTAGGTTGGTTATGTTGATACCCCCTATAATGGTGTAGAATTCAATCAATAAATACAATTGGATGCATTCCGTAAGCTAGAAAATTTGTTGATTAAAAGCAAAGAAAAAAAAGGTCGAAGCTTCCAAAAGGATAGAGGAAAGAATAGATCAGAGAGTAAGAAATGGAATCTTATCCTTTAATGGATTCAAAGTCGTTGCATAAACCATATAGTTTGTATACTAGGGTTTTGATCTCCACCCTTGTTAGCAATGTTGTCAAACTCCAACAAGACACGAAACCATTTTGGTCACTAGATCTTGGATCACATGGTCTGGCTGTTCAACCCACTCAAATATAAAATTCAAAAAAAAAAGAAAAATTTATAAAGTAGCAAGTTATTCTAGATTGTATTTTAAAGCTATTTTTAATCAAGATAAGCTTAAAATAATAAATAACATACATTGTAACAGGCATGGTTTTGAAAACCGGACGGTCAGACCGGTTGACCTAGGAACCCGTCACGAGTCCAGGTCCGGTCTTGAACCACAAAACCATCCAACCGGGCTTCGGACCAGACAGCCCGGTTTTCAAAACCGTGGCAACAAGTATTAACAAATACCAATTTCATGTAGGTTTGACCAAGTCAACACGTCTAAGAACTGGGAAGCTTACAAACTGTTTTGGCTTTAGTTCCATGGTTCTGATGGTCCGACTATCTAGTCCAGTCAGAAATCAACAATGCTGCTTGTTAGTTTTGATGCTTATCTTTTTCTAATTGATAAACTGTCTTGTCATCTATCAAAAAATTACAAAAAAGGGAACTAATTATATTCTGCTTTTATATTTTTCCTTCCCTAACCCCCAGATTATATAAACACAAGTCCAAACAACTCATGTAACCACATATTTTCATGACAGATAAAAAGCAACTTCAATTTTAAAGACACATAAAAGAACCATGAGAAAATGGAATACCAGACTCTCTATCCCATTCCCGAGGCCTTCTGCAAGCCCTGAAAGCAAATCCAAAGAGCAGACAATAAACTCTCTGTCATATTGAACCCCAGCAGACACAGGATCAACCTACAAAAAAGGAATCAATAAATAACAAATGATCAATTAATAACGAAATATATCAGTAAGAAGTGTATGTAATGCAACCAGTAGAATGGGCTGCAGAAAGTAGTGAGAATAACCTTAGTGCCAAATATCAGTAACAGGATCAGAAGTTGGAAGGGTGGACCTGTAAATTTTAGAAGGTCCAAGAGTTTAGAGTGGCTCTAAAGTATGGGCATATGTTTGTGTGTTCAGGCACAGAGGTCAGTTACACAGGGCTGCTTCCAGCTAACCGGGTTCTTAAGAAGGGTGGACTGGATATGGACCCATCTTCTGCCATTTTAGCATGAATTGGCCACTCGCTAACTTCAACCCTCATTTTCATGCATATCAATATCAAGACAAAATCTTATTACCAAACAAAGTAACAGCACCTTGTCCTTGTGCTTATGCATGTATATAATATTTATATATGTAACTTACGCATATAAATAGATGAATATAAACAAGGGCTCCACTGAGTTGCTACTTCATCATTTCCAAATTACTCGAGGAGAAACGAAATTTGAAGAAAAAAAAAAAAAAAACTTCATGTAGTGTGCAGGAAGGAGGATAGAGGGAGTGGATGATGGAGAGCGAAGTATTAGTACATATAAATCCTTCTCCCAGTCTTCCATAGTTTCTTTTTTTTCCCCTTCAGTTTTCTTTCCTAGTTCTCGGTTCTCCACACCAAGGATCAAACTATTGATATGCCTGATACACAAAAATTGTGTATCACGAAATTCAAAGGGACAATCACTTAGAAAATAAAAAATTAAGTTTGGAAAATTGAGCCAGGACATTGCTAGGAAGGGTATTACCCTTCAAAAGTGGTCAAAAAACTTAACTCTCAGGATTCAGTGTATCAGTGACCCTAAAAACTGATACAATACGTCCCTGTATTGTAATGATACTTTGATCCTTGTTCCACACCTTCTTTTCTCTTTTTCTCTTGTTTTGTCTCTCTTGTTGTTGGAAATTCAATTAATAGAACGTAATTAGCCCCCTCTACTTGCAAGAGACAGGTTTAATTGAAGACGGGAAGTGCTTGGATAGTTAAGAATATCAAATAAGAATGATATTAATAGCCAGCAATGATAGTTAAGAATGATATTAATAGCCAGCAATGATAGTTAAGAATATCAAATAAGAAAGAAACCTTTGCCAGTTGTTGAGTCTGGATGAGGTTTAAACACCTTTGGAATACAGGTTCAGCAAATTGAGAAAATCCAGGACCAAGTGCCTGAAAGAGGTAACAGACAATTGTTCTATCAGAATCATTATATTTCTTAGCTATCTTCATTTATGATTAAGATAGGGAACACTCAACATTTTGCAGATAAAAAGGAACTGTATACAACATGATAAATGTTTTACTTTAAAAAAAATAATTTTTTATCAATAACAAGATGACTTATATTATAATAGAAAGAAGGATGGGCAGGACAAAAAGAGCCATCATACTAGTGTTTGCATAGAACCCTCTGTTTTTCTCCCTATCCACACATAACCAGGGAAGGCACAGGATATTAATAGTGGACAAAAAAAGGTAAGAGGTCTAATTTTTCTGTGTCCACTTCCACAGAAGTGGGGTATCCACTTTAGATAGTCATAGAAAAAAGTTCCCTATCTAACCAACTCTTGTGAGAAACAAGAGCTCTAGTGGGGGTTAGAAATCCAAGTAACTTTTCTTGATGCTTATCTCACAAGAGGGCATCTAGTATAGCTCTTTGTTTACATATATCTCATTTTTCCATGTTACCACTCACATCACACTTGAGCAATTCTATGACCACAGACATACCCAACACATGATTCATTGACTGCAACTGTAGACCCCCCATAAACATAAATGACCTTAGAAAAGAAAAAGGAAAAAATTACAAACTGAAGATGAAAAAATGATTTCAACTGTAAACCTCCAAAAGCTTCCTATTTAAACCCAGAAACAGTTGCATTCCCAGAACGTTCAACTTTGGACACTACAGAATGAGAAACATAGGGTGGCAAAAAAGCAGTGTCAGTGGAAGTTTTAGTGTTAACAAGTTGAGATTTCATCTGAAATGAACAGATTGATCTTGCAGTACCATGAGTGACATAAAGAACCTGAAGACAAGATTAAATAATAAACACAAAAAAATACCTGCGCTATGGATGTGAAACACTCAAGCAATGGAAAAAGATCTTTGTCTGAATTTGCAAGTTGCTGCCACTTTGAGATTAATGGAGGCATCAAAATATCAAGATACCTTGGCTGTCATGTTTACAATAGAGATTAGAACGCAAGTAACATATGCCATTATAGCATAACATGCATTGAACTATGACCCGTGTCAGCACTGTCTCTCTCAAAAGGGAAAAAACAAATAACAAAAAAGGGTAGGTGGGGCCGTGGGTGAATATAACCATCATATTGCACATTAAGGGGCAACTGTTTGGTCTAATGGTAAAATCTCAGGCTGACAATCGTGAGAGTGCGAGCCAACATCTGAGAGAGGTCACTTTGTGCAAAGGAATCTGCCGAAGGCTAGGTCATTGTCCAATCAACCCCTCCCAAGGCCCCAGAAAACTGGAACTTTTATTGGGTAACAGCCCTTTATAATATTGCAAAGAACAGGAGAGAGAGAGAGAGAGAGAGTACTTGATTGAGCTCCCCTCCAACAGCATCTGCTAGTGTACCAATAGCATCATACACTATCCGGAGGTTACGTTTCTGAAAAACAGTTAAGAATAAACACAATGAGAAACAGAAAAAGAGTTATAATTAGGATGGCAATATAAGTGGAATCTGAATTGGCACTTACCATGCACAATTAGAGTCAATTGATCAATAATGCATACAAAATGCAGAACAAAATACATTATAGAAAACAAGAAAAAAAAAGCAAAGGAGAAAAAACAAAGACCTGATATTTCCCAAAAGCACATAAAAGGTGCTGCAGAATTATTTCCAAGTGTGGCGCCAACTCTTCTGCAGCCTCCTGCTATTAAATAATGCCTTGAGTTCTAAAGAACTTTACAAGAATAAATGTAGCTATTCAACTCTTGTTACAGAATAAACCTCTTCAAGTGTAGCAAAGGCTGAACAAGCAGCTTCTTGAACTCGTTTGTTAGTGTCCAATATCCTTCGTAAAAGACCCATAAGAACTTTTTCAAATTGTTCATGACCTGTTTGATGGCCAATACCCTGAACTTGGCAGGAAAAAAAAAGATTTTTCAAGCAGATTTTAAAATTTCATGGCACCAAAAACTAGAGATCAATTAAAAAACCAAGAAAAAAGAACAGTCTCACAAGCTCAAAGTATTGAACATCTACTGAACAATTATATCTGTAACAAGTTGCATTCTAACACAGTATATATGAATGAGAATGTTAGGTAAATGATCCAATAGCAATATCAATTTACTTTATGTTACTAAAATAACAAGGTATGGTCAATTTTACATGACACCCTTTATAAAGTCCATAACACAACAAGCATGTCACCAGGGATTAGAGACAATTAATCAACAAAAGGAACAGAAGATTTTGGTAAAACGATCATAAAAAGAAGGAATCAAAAGCAATGAGATTACCATTCCAACACCAGGATCTTATAGATCAATTAACCCATATGGCAAATAGAACCCCTCATTTGATAAATTTTCAAATTAATTTAAAACCCAACCATAGTGACATGTTTGCAGAGCCAAACCTAAAATAACATAAGATGAATCCATTTCCTGAAATTAAGTCATTTAGGATTTTGCAGTCAGTATATTACAATCACCCCAGAGGCCTTAGGAATAAATTTGGAGATTCAAGAGAAGATATGAAGCAAAAGCCAGTTTATTGGACAAGCATTAAATAAAAATCCTGTCATAGGTAGCAAATCATAATGACATAGTCATTCACCACTTTGGAGGACTCTAAATTGCCCTTCTTTCATCTTGAAGCTCCCCCAGACCCATTGGTGTCAATGGTATCTGTAGGTACAAGCACTTCATTGTTAATAAACTTAAATATGACCAATACATAACTTTTGCTCGCATTTAGGGCACAGCTCTTCAAATTGCGAAAAATGATTTACTTGTTAGGAAAGTATAAGGAAAAAGAATTACATGTAATAGATGTTATGTTCTCTTGTTTTATAAGGTTAAATGTGTTGTTTAGTATGTACAAGAAAGGTGCCACGCCCCATCACAACAACAATAATAATAATAATAATAAATAATAATAATAATAACGGTAACAATAACAACAATAATAATAATGCATGTTTTCTTATTACAAGGAATGTGCATGAAAGGAGGGCATTGCTTTGTGCAATGGTAATACATCAGGTCATGAGAATGCAGTTTTAGATTTGAAAATCCCCACTTCATGCAAAAAAAAAAAAAGAAAGAAAAAAAAAAAAAAAACAAGCACTGGTGTTTTTAATAATCCAACCTGAAAGTCAGGAATAAGAAAGAGAGGAAGAACCCAAGAGAAGAAAAGAGAGAAAAGGCATTCATCAAAAAAAAAAGGAGAGAGAGAAAAGGAAGATCATGGAAGAGAAAGTTAACTCTCCAACTCATTTCCAACTCCTTAAATATTAATCACCATACAAGAACCACACATTTAATATAAGGAAAAGGACTACACTTCCCCTATGTAATAAACTTCATAATAAAAGACAAAGCTACCCTCTCAAAAAATAAAATAGTGTATTTCAACAGTATCCAGACTACCCCTCCCAAGACATGGATAGCCAGGACCATCATTGGGCAAGGGACCTTAGGCACATAAATGAAGGTGAATAAGAAATGATTCATCTTGACAACACTCAGCCTATACAAGATGCATGCACAGTCTGGCTAAATGTTTGATGTTTTTTCAAGATGATTGTACTACAGGGTGAAAGCTCTTCACCATTACATAACTATTTACACATTTCAAATCATTTCAACTCTCCAGCCTCTGCTTTTTTTCTTTTTTCTTTTTTTTATTTGTAACAAACAAAATTTTATTATAGACAAATAAACAGAAATTTACCCAAGCAATCGGATCAACAAACACTAGAAAACCAGCACAACACATACATTAGACTCCCCCAAGAATCTCCCTCCAAAAGAGCTCTTCCTTGTTTATCCTTTGTCTAGCTAGTCCATTAGCCAAGATGTTCCCACATATCAGATTCCACCTAAAGGTGGCATTCAGATCCTTTGCAAATACCTTGACTTCCCTCAGGAGACATCTGTATGTCCAGGTTCCCCTTGCATTATTTCTTAACCAGTACACTACTACTTTAGAGTCTCCCTCCATATGATGTTCTTCCCAGTTTCAATCTTTGTAAACAGCCAATAATTCACCCTTGTTGAGTTTCTATGCCCTTCGGGTCTTTGAACTTTCACAATGAAACACGATAATCGGTATTGTTAATATCATTTTTCTTTCCTTTCTATTATTTTTTTTCCAAAAAAAAACCTATGTTAGAACACAAAACATCAGAAAACCATAAACTGCAATTAATTAGAAGCAATCTTGTTAAAACCTACGATTCATGATTTGAATCATGAATCCCAAGGGTTTCGATTTGAATCTTATGTCCAAATCCCTTTCTACAAAAATCTTACAATTTTTGTTTAAAACCTGCAATTTGAATCATAAATCATACGATTTATACAATTCTTGCGATTCAAATCAATTCAATTAATTATTAGTTCTTTACTTTGTCATTTTATTTTGTTGCTATTTCGTTTTGTCAAGGGTGACTTGTTTTAAGGACCTTACTAGAAATTGACATATTTTCACTATTTAAGTCCACATGTTAATTTTCCATCATATGTAGGACAAAGAGTCATTGTATTACAGTTTCTAAGAAATTTCAGCAAGTGGAGGATGGCTTTGAATGGGTTTTAACAAATCTCTATGGTCCGAATGGGTATAGGGAGAGGAATGAAATGTGAGACGAATTGGGAGATATAAGAGGGTTGTGGGATGGACCTTGGTGTATTGGCGGAGACTTTAATGTGATCAGGTTCACTGAAGAAACAAATAATAGGAGACAGGGCATTACAACCAGCATGAGAAGGTTCAATCAGTTCATAAATATGTTTGAGCTTAAAGAATTGCCTCTCCTTCACAATACTTGCACCTGGTCCAACCTCCAAGCTAGCCCTATTTGTTCTAAACAATATAGGTTTCTTTTCTCGGTGGATTGGAAGGATTGTTGGGGTGGTTTAGTGACTAGAGCTTTGACCAGGCTCACTTCAGACTATTGGCCTATCTCCATTTGCAAGGAGGATCTTGTTGGAAAAGGGCCAGCTCCCTTTCGGTTTGAAAATATGTGGTTGTGTCATCCAGGTTTCATTCAGAGGATCAGAGAGTGGTGGGGGAAGCAACCCAAGAGCTGAATGAAAAGGGATGAAATTTCACAGGAAGTTGCAAGAATTAAAATCTAGAATCAAGGAGTGGAATACTTTAGAGTTTGGGAGGATTGAAGAAAGGAAGCAATCTTTGATCAACCAAATTAAGGAACTAGATAAAAAGGAAAGGGATACCTTTGAAGAAAGAGATAAAGAAATAAGGTGGTCCTTAAGAAAGCAATTGGAAGATGTTCTACACAAAGAGGAAATAAGTTGGAGACAAAAGTCAACACTCAACACATAAGTGGATTAAGGAGGGGATAGAAATACAAATTTTCCCATGCTTTGGTTGTTGGAAGGAAGAGGAGGAATAATATCTCCAGATTAGTAGTTGACGGGGTGCCCTTAACTAGTCAAGATGAGATTGTTGGGGCTTTCAAAGAACATTTTAGATCAATCTATAGAAAACCTTTGCAGGAAAGAGTTTGTGTTGAGGGCCTTGATTGGTTAAGGATCCTAGGGGAAATGAAGATTTGGTTGGAGAGGTGATTTGATCAGGGGGGGAAATCAGGGAGGCTGTCTTTTCCATGGATAGAAGCTGTGAAAACCTTATTTAGTCCTAGGTTACAATAGAGAAGAAGGAGAAGAAGAAGGGTTCGGCCAATAGAGGAAAATCAGTCCTCTCTCTAGTCGACCCACTTGTATTTATCTCTAATAACATAGTTACAAGAAAGACCATATTGTCCCTCATAAGTGATGGGACACATAACTTAAACTTAAATAAAACAAACCTTTCACTCTCAAATAGATAAACCCAAATGACCAAAATACCCCTGTTTTGTGTA